CCGCGATCAGTTCCAGGCAGTTGATGTGTAGGTTGGTCTCCTCTTCCTGCCATGGGCTTCCCGTGGAGGCGTAAGCGCAATGAGCGCCCCATCCCCACAAGCTGGCGTCCGATTCCACTATGAAGTCCCGCGAAGGGCCGAAGATCGCTTTGCCGTTCCAGGCTTGTATATGTAGTAACCACCATCACAGTTCCGACCTCACTTCCGACGAGAGTGGGATCCAGTGGTCGTAGGAGTGTCTGGTGCACAGGTATCCCGCTTTCAGCCGTTGCATGGCCCTGTAGAGGGCCTGGGAATATCGCTTGTATGGATGAGGAAAGGAGTCCTACAATTCGAGCGAGCATCCTGAGCAGTATTGTGTCCATCCTCAGGACTCGTCTGATTTCCTTCCTTATCGAGGCTATCTTTTTCGATGGAGGGCGTAGTACGCATTTCTTCGAATCGATGTCGAAACCCAGGAATTGGACCGACTGGGAGGGAGAGAGAGACGACTTCTGTCTGTTCACTACGAAGACTAGGGATTCTAACGAGTGAACGACAAATTTCGTCTGTGATCGTAGCCTGGATGTGGATTCGCAAAAGATCAGCAAATCGTCCAAGTATACGAGACATCGTATGCCCCTCGTTCGGATGTGAGCCATCACTGGTCTCAGTAGCTTCGTGAAGCACCACGGAGCCGAGCTGAGGCCGAATGGCAGACATGTAAATTGGCATATCCATCCTCTCCATCGGAAGCGGAGGAATTGTCGGCAGTGTACGTCCACTGGGACGGACAGATACGCATCTTTGAGGTCCAGACGCGTAAACCAGTCGTCCTTGACGAGAAGGTCTTGTAGAAGATGGATTCCTTCCATCTTGAAGTGTCTGTAGATTACGAATGAGTTTAACTGCCGGAGATTGATAATCAGCCTGTACTCGCCCGTCTTCTTCTTGACCAAGAAAATGTTGCTTAGAAAGCCTCCCCGTGCGTATTGTATCGCGCCTTTCTCGAAGAGAGCGTGGATCTCTTCGTCTACTAGGTGGCTTTGTCTTGACGACATGTGGATTGGGGGAGGGGGAGCGTTTTGAATGGGTCGTGCGGAGAAGTCTATGACGAAACCGCGAACCGTCTGGAGGACCCAGGCGTCTTTGGTAATCAGTTCCCAGTTCTGGAAGAAAAAGGATAGGTTGCCTGCAATACATTTTGATGCATTTGTGTATGTAGGTGGACTCACCATTGGAGAAGCGGCCGCGGCCTCTGAAGCCTCTGGTTCTCCCCGTTCCTCGGAACGATGAGGGTCTTTGCGTCGTAGACGGGAAGATATTCGGGGCTTGTGGGAATGGTCTGGAACCTGAGGCCCAAAATCGGCTGGTGGCACGGTTCCGTTGTCGACCAGCCCTTCCAAAAACACCTCTTGTGGATGGGGTGTGGAACACCTGTTTGAGAGAGGTTTGAGCCTTGTTCAAGGTAGTGAATAGGTTCACATGTCTTTTAAGTTCCGCGATGAAGGCATCGCCAAATAACAGGCCTTGGGCTTTCGGTCTGAATTCTTTAGTCCTGAGGTCCAGGAGCTTGCTATCAATATGTATTAGGGCCGATCTGCGTCTTTTGACGCAAAGTGCGGCGTTAGCATTGCCCAGTAGGCACACAGCGCGTTGAGCCCATTCACGTATGACATGAGGGTCCAGTTGAGAGTCTTGGCTGAGGGCTAGGTCTGCGAAGTATAGCATCTTGGCAATGGGGCAGAGCAAATCCAGCACTTTGTCCTGTGCCGCTTTCATGCCCTTCTCCACCCCTTTGCGCGGGTCCCTGCCCGTGCGTGACATGAAGACCACCATAGTGTCGTCGAATTCGGGCGTCGGTGCCACTTTGTCGGGGATCAGCGGCCTGGGGAATTCAGTCCTGAGGCGTGCCTGTACCTCCTTTTCCAGCGGTTTGCGCAGCCAGTAATGTATGAATTTCGCCAGGTGATCTAGCAGCGTCCACTCTGAGGACCGTGGGTGCCGGATGGTGCGTGGGTCGAACAGCGGTGTCCCCTGGTCGCCCAGGAAGACCCCGTCTTCGGACTGACCGGTGTGGCGATCATTGTCGAGTTCCTTGTCCCGGTTGCCGAGGAAGGTCTCTTTGACATACTTCGAAGAGTTGGTTGGGAGGTCTTGCCACTCTTCGTCGTCTGAGGGTGAGCCGTCCCCGTGCCACTCGTCCACCACATCTAAGGCATGTGGAACGTAGGCATCGTCCTCGTCCGAGGATTGAGGCGGGAAGGGCGCGGGCTGTCGGTCCGCGTTCTTAACTCGCTTGACGGGCAACTTGCCCCTAGTCTTGGTGGAGGGGGGGCTCGAAGCCTTCCTTTGCCTCTTGGCCTTAGACACCTCTGAGCCCGAAGCTTCCATGCGTTCAGGGGGATTTGTGTCTTCCTGGCCGTGGGGTAGAGCCCGCAAGAGGGCCTTCTCTACCGAAGCCACCATGGCAGCATTGATCATGGCTTGGAAGTCTTGGGTGCTTTGGGTATCCTCCATGATCTGGGGTGTATATCAACCTGTTGGGCGAAAACAAGGTTCAGTGGAGAAGAGTCACGTACAGATATATATTGACTCTTGAGTATGTATAGAAGGCTTTATATGCACGTAATTAGTGAAATCAGGGCAATATGCGTATCTCGTTACATGAAGGTATAGGCCCTTGTGCATATCAACGGGGTTCACCCCGAGTGGTGTGCCGTGGCAACCAGAGGACACCCACATCAATTGAAAATGGGCCGTCAGCGCCCTTGCATGCATATCTGGGGGGTCACCCCAGGTGGTGTGCCATGAAGAAATACCCAGAGGACACCCACATAATTTTTGCACCCTTGGGTACAGTAATGTAATATGACCCTGTGCAGGGTAACCAATATGATATTCCCCTTGAAGGGTATAGCAGTATCCGATCCCCTGTGGGGTAGATAGCGTTGCATCTGTCCCTGCCGGGACTAGAGAGGCAGTATGTTCAATTATAATAACGATAAATGTATACTTGATATTATACAGCCTTCATAAACAAATCATAAATTGTGCATGCTTTGACCACTTGTCACTTGTAAAATATCCTTGTTGGTTAGTGGAAAGGTGATATTCCGATGTAGTGAGCTGTCCTGAGAGAGAGGAGTATACTTGAAATTATACAGCCTTTAGGGGGGGGAAAAACCTGAGGGTAATCCCCCCAAATCCGTTGCGGTGATCGGGTGATTCCATAACCGCCGAGTGTAGAGAAAGGCGGCCGTCGCGGGTCTTGCGAGCCGTGAGATCCAAGATGGCCGCCGGCCGTGTGAGTATGAGCTACCCGCTCGCGGCCGCGAGCAGGACGGGAAAAAACGCGGCAAACAGTAAATTCTAACCCCGGCTACCCTCCACCAGTCCCCACCCTGCCCCCTGGACCGCCCGACCGCAAGGGCCAAAAGACTCAGAAGCACAAACGTAGACAGGGGCAATACTGAGTAAGGGAAACAGGAGGGGACAGGTATAGGTAGACAGGGAGTAAAATAAGAAACACAATAAAATACAATAATAAGGTAACTACAGGTACAAAAACCAGAGAGGAAAAATTACTCTGACCTGTTGATGGCTGGAGCAGCAAAGAAAGAGGAAGTGATGTCATAGACAGGGCCTTTTATGGGCACCATATCTTTTCTCTGATTGGTTGTTACTGTTTCTATGCTGCTGGAGGTTTCAGTAAAGAAAGATATGCAAATATGAAGCCTCCTGTCATGTGGTAAAATTCCCAGTCTCTTGGATTCCTTTAAATGTATGTTTTTATGTTGCCACATCTGTTCCTTTTCCATGATTCCTTTTGTTTCAGTTGGTCCCTGCAGGCAGTTGCTCAAGTCCTCTGCCTTTTCTTGCAGGTAAGGGCTGTGTGTGTTTTACTATTGTTCATTTAGCAGACATTAGGCAGTTAGAGTAGGACCTGCCTAATATGGTGTACATTGACGATGTGGCAATGTATGATCATATAATGTAACTAAATCCCCATGATTTTCATATATAGTACTTAGTTATTTCTCCTCTTGTTTTGCCTATCATATCGTGTCTTGTTTTAGTTTGTATTCCCAGTCCTTGTACAGTCCTGTCCTGCCCCTGTTCTGTTAATATTTCCCTTATGTATTGTGTATATGTTCTGGGTTTAACTTCCTATCTTTCTCTGGTTCTGGGTTCTACTAGTGTTTTCATGTTTGGTGCCTATCCTATTCTTGCCTTGTTTCTGTACTGGATACACTCCTGCTGCAGAGCCTCACTATTCAGCTCCTGGGAGGTCTGCTTATTTCCAAGCTCCTAGTTCCTGGGATTCGCTGCATCAGGGTCCTGGTATTTGGCCGCATAAACGCTGGTGCTCAACACCAGGGGGCGTGTGATTACCCTGCACCAGACCCTGCTAATCCACTTCCACACTGTGACTCCAACTTTCAACATCAGGCATACTGGGTCCCGGTCGTTCCTTCCGCCGCCCTGACAATGTCTAGGTCTCGGTCACCAGACCGCCACCCTGACAGGCTGGAAGGTTGCTGTGCCTCATTTTAAATGTGGCGCTACCTTTTGTGACCTCAAAGCATCATTCATATGTTTCCCATTTTATCCATCGGCTGAATGTGATCTGTGTCCATCCGGGCAGCGCTATTGCTTTCACAATGCATTTTTCTGCTAATGATGGATGCCATCCTGCCCCTCTTGGGCCTTCCAAGCCCTCATCTGATAATTGTTTTGTGCTGTGTGCCTTTTATTTATTTTTTTCTAGTTCTATTATTTCCCTCTACTCGACTAATGTGCTTTTATCGCTCCACTGCAATAGCCCAGTTTAGTTACCAAGTGGTACTTCACTCCTCCTGATAGCATTATTGTAGTACTGCTCATGGCACTATGCCCTTCATCTTCCTCATGTCAGGTTAGCATGTTTTTAGCAAAGGCAATTTTTCTCTCTCTCTGCTACTTCTACACATGTCTAGATGATCTGAAATGCCTAATGTTACAGTTCTGTTTAATGCTTAGATGTGTTTGCTTAGCTTGCTTATTTAAAAAATGAATGACTTACTCAGGAGTTTAGTTTATTGTGCATAGCCATTGCACTCTTGACATGTGTACATCTGCTATAACCCCATTCTCTTTTCAATGCCTCAATAAATGAAAGATTGGCCCCAAAAAGGTATTAGTTTTCAATGTAAATACATTTATTACAAAATAAGTGCACAAAGAGACAAGTGGTACAAAGATGTAAAACATTTTCACCCTAGAAAACAGTTATAGAGTAAAACACCAAGATATTAATACCAGGCAAAGGACAAAATTTCAAGTCTGAGACAGTACTATTCCGGTTTTAAGTCAATCCAAACAATTCCAGTGTTAATTGATATGCAAGTTCATTAATCATCTCTCTCACTGAGAAGGCAACCCAGGCTGGGATAGTCCATTCTTCCTCTTGGAATACATTTTTATCAGAGTTCAGAAAGAGGTTTCCTTCAACAAATATCCAGCGATTTCAGTCAATAGTGAAAACACTGTATTTGTTACTTTACAAAATTAAAACTTTATTAATAATCACGATATTGTCTCACACTAGCATGGCTCTAAAGGCACTCATAGTAAAGGAGACGTGTACTTCAAAGAGTCCTGTACTATATGTTTACAGGTTTTAGGATATTGATATGATC